GTAGTACTGTTTAGTGGCCACGCACTCGTAGAGTGTATATTTTCATAAAAAATAATTATATTATAATAGTTACAATAATAATTTTCTTCTTTTATATAGTTAAAAATACTGAGCGTCCTTTTTATTCCAGTTCTTATTTTTAATTGATTTTTTATTCTATGTTCGAAATTTAAATGGCCACATGTTTTTATTTGTGGCCAGTATTGCCAAGCGCTTTTTGCTCCAGTAAGCAAGCCGGTGATACAACCTGCTTAGACTAAGAAGTTCGAAATACTGAACAATAATAATTCGCGATTTTTTTTGTTATTATTAATTACAGCTGCACTACTTACTTACTTACTTATTATCCGAAACTCGATATTATTTCAGAATGGTAAACGTTTACGAAGTACAATTAAATATATGTATACTATAATGTTATTACCATGTGCTAAAGTTTGCACTGCTATCAATTTCACACGTATCAATGTGATATGAATTCAATAGTTTTCCTTCCAATTAATCAAATACTTCCTTCTAGTATAGACGTGGATACGTACTAATTACATTTCTACTCGTAGGAGCTCCAGATAGGCAGTTGATGCTTAGTGAATACATACATACCTTTCAACATTAATTTGTTCTATCTTAATAATATATCATGTATTTTATGAAATACCCCTAAATAACATTGAAATAGCCATACTAGGTAAGTGGTTTTGATTGACTTTTATAGAAAGTATGCAAATTGTATAAAATTGTGATGTTTGGTTACCAAGTGGTAATTACTGTATCCTTACTCTTTGTATACATGACTGTCGGGTTGGAAAATTAGATCAGTTAACTAGTTATTTACGTGTCTATATATAAAACTTCCTCATTGCTCAGCCACTCGATTACGTAGTTACCAGAGGGAACGCCACTCACAAAGCTAATTGGATTAGCCAAAACCTATAACAATACCGTTGTAATAGAAAAACCGTGGTTCAGTATTGTGCAGAAAGCACAGACGAAAGGAAAAGAATAATTGAATTTTATTATAGACATCCTTAACGTTATTATATTGCGGGTTTAGGGTTGTGAAATGGCAACTTTGCGAAGAAGCTGACATAGCTTACAAAATTTGTTGGTAAGCGCGGGACACGACTCCGGAATATCAATGTCCACCTGGGACGCCAGGAATTCTGTTTAGCGATACGACAAAAGGTCTGCGATTCACCCTCATGTTACGAATTCCGATAAATACACTATTCATATAAGCACACATAGAGACTTGTAAATATACATATATTAGGTATATAGGTATAATCAATTCAAATAAGAGTTAATAACTGATTAACACTTAATTGTGAATATGATGGTATAATTAGAAAAAAAGCAAGGTTAAGTTTATTCAAACAATTTATTTATATTCCAATCTAATTTAAAAAAAATATTTAAATGACTATATTTTATAAATTTACCAATATTTTCTTTAGAAACATTTTTCTAATTAGCTTAAAATTTTATCGCTTAATTATAAGAATAACAAAAAATAAGACTTATTTTAATTAAACATCAAACACGATAAAGTTCGACGTAACATTTAAAAATAATTAATGGAGGTATTATAGAAGTTACAAGTTTTAATTATTGTTGTAATGGCAAAGCTATCAATATTACTGTTAAAAGGACTTATTATAAATTAGCATTTTAGTTTTTTTTAAGATTTTTCATTACTCAAATTAATAATGTATTATGATTACACTGACATATGAATAAAGACAAAACTTTACTAGATCTAGACAACAAGTAGATGCAACAATTTAAATTACATACGATGTTGTTACTTATAAAAAAAATCATCTTCACAAAGCCGATATAAACTGAAGTGGATAAAACAACTATTACTCAACTACCTATCACCAATAATAGAAAAGAAATTGATAATTTTAACTCAGATAAAAACTTGGTTAATAATTTTATACATTTGTTGAGATATACACAATTCACGATCATTATACGAACCAAAGCACTATACTAATGAGCAAATGAAATATATTTACGTAATGTTAATATTTGTATCTTACCAGTAAAGTAGTCTCATTAATAAATTTGCCTTTACTAGTACACAAGTATTGACGTATATTAATATAGTTGTTAAATCTCTGTACTTAGCATGATATGTTACTAGAATTTTCCATCTATTTGTCATTATCGTAAGAATATATTTAAAGTTCTGATAGCTCTCTCTAAAATACAATGTAATACTGGTGTCAATACTATAGTGCCTCTAGTTTCGTACAGTCAGTATCTTTATAGCATTAAATGTATGTAGCAAACTTGTAACATAATAAATATCTCAACAATTTTTCAGTTTTAATTTATATTTACTAATTGTCAAACCAAACTAATTCGTGAGGTGATGTTAGGCTTCCCCTTGCTGATTCGGATTAGGCATGGCGAGTGTTAGGTTCACTACAATACCAACCATTGACAATGCCTAACTACCCTGTTAATAAATACTGTAAATAATTATTTTGTATCAAGTGGTAATTAATTAATAAGGCTGGTTTAAAAAGTAATTAAACTTTCTAAAAAAACAAACAAAAACATTTTTTAAATGTTACGTAATTAAAATGTTAATAATTATATTTTTCAGATATAGCCTAATAATTTTAGTTAGTAGTTATATCACGGACTGAAAACGCTTGTACAATTTTAATATTTTTTTTACCTTACTTTATGACTTTTCCTCAGCTGCTTACGTAAATAAGACCAGAGTTAGCGATGTAGACTATCTCGACAAATTCAAGTTTGACAGTCATTAGATGTATAGGTGAGATAAAGGTGTTTACCTTTGTTAGTGTCAGGCACCAAGTTGCTTGCTTTAGAAGCTAATTCTGTAGAATATATATCAGGTTAATTACAGACGGGATGAGTCTTTCTGAATAGCAAAGCATAAATGGCAAATATCATAGGCGTGACATGATGGCGTGATAGTTGCCACTTGCCATTAGGTGGCTGGTACCTTGTTTGCCATTCCAGTTACATAATAAAGGACTTATAGATAAAAAACTAAAAATTTTTTAATTGAATAAAGACGAGTCGAATATATTGGATGTGGGATCGTTATAATATGTGTATCATAATACATACATGAACATATACGAAATCTATAAAAGATACAATAAATTACACAATAAGTTAAATCAAATCATGGGAAGGTCATAAATTGCTGAGTTTCGCCGGCCAGTGGATCCCGAGGGATCGGAATTATACCATTTGTCTTGTCCGCATAGAAATGAACGGGATCACGTAATTTCCGTATTCCACTTACGGTCTCATATCGTCAAAGTGTAATTTTTAAAAATTACACTTTTACTCGTGTGTGTGTAAATGACTAGCATCTTGCCCTGGCTTCGCACGACTTTTATTATAGTAGAGTTCTATCTTCTTAATCAAAAACAACCAATGTATTAGTTGTAAAAAATTGAAATAATTATAAATATTGATTAGTATTAATTGAATTATCGTTTGTATATCTTTCATTTTCGTAACATTTCGTCTATATATGTATTATGGTTAGCTGTCTCGCGCAAATTCATTAGATTAATTTTCTAAATCGGTTCAGTAGATCTAGAATTATCCCTTAAAAACTTAAAAATTAAAATGTATAGACCAAAAATATAGTAAAGGTTTGTATAGTGGTATATATTCGTTATTTAATAGTTATTTTATTTTCTATTCACGAAATAATATATTTCCGTAAATATTAATTATATAGCAGCATAAAAGCTCCGTAATTAATCTAATGAATTCAATTTTAATCATACATAGGCAGTTTCGAATAATAATAAGATTAATTACCTGGGATTTAATTAGATTAACTCACACGTTTTCCATAAAGCGTGCACTAAAACTCAATAGATCAATTAAATGAAAGGGCTTGGGTCTGTAATGTAATTAAGGAATAACTACCCATTTGGAGAAGTTTCCCTAATCATACCACTAAATCTAATATCGATTTGAATTTTTAATTAATACTAAACAATTCTAATTGCTAGATCTATTATTTACTATTTTGTAATTACTATTTAATATTAATAATTTAATGTAGTCATAAATTTCGTTGTTTAAAGAAATTATTAACATAAAACGACTTTACAATCTCGTTGATCAATTGAAATACTAGTGATTTCACAGTTGCAAAAATTAATATAGGTAGGTATGGAACATTCATATAATTTCTCAGTGTTTCCAGCGATCACCAAATTCCAATTATTTATTGTGTATCTGTGGTAATATTTTACCCCTCCATAGGTTATCAGTATTTACATTCTGGAAATTGAATTGTTTTTGTATCAATTTCACTGGTATGGGTAATTTGTCATTCGGAGTCATTTGTCAGGGAAGTAATCCGTACACATACTATATAAAAAGTCTATACATTTTTAGAATACGAATAATGTAATTAGGAGGTTTTAAAAAATTTATGGTATTGGTCGATTGGGTTATTTTAAATATTAGGTTATTCTTTCACATTAATATTTGATACAAGCATTTAGTATATTAGTTAGTCACTTCTTTTAGTGGATGATATTGGAATACCCAATACCCATTGCTTGATTTGGTACGAGCTTACAGTAACTGTATACAATGGGTGACAGGAAGAGGGTGAAGATAGATAGAATTTCACCGGCAAGATTTTGTTATTGTTTCCTTGACACAATCATTAATAGTTTTTTAACACATATCCGATAGTATAGATAGTGCTGATACTCGGTAGGCGTGTTCTAGAGTAGAGAGCGTGAATTGGTAAACATAGGATAGGACGCCCCGCAGCTAGTTGAAGATATACGTAGAGTTGCGGATAATAACTGGAAGGGAAGGCTGAAAATCATGCCCAGTAGCGTACCTTGGGAGAAGCCTATGTCCAGCAGTGGACTATAGTGGACAGTTGATGATAAACACAACCCCTACCAACAGACAAAAAAATGTTATTATAATTATTTTTATATATTTGTTGTTTTATTTTTCAGTGAAACAAAGGGAAGGTATGTGGGGCGGGGGTGCGCAGTGCGTGCATGCCTCACTGCCGCGGGGAGCGCGCGCACAACCCGCGCCCACGCTCAGCGGCGCCATCGCCAGCCGCCGCCCGCCCAGGTACATGAAACTTAACAACAATTAGCACAAAGTATCAGTCTATAGGGACAAACAAATTTAGCCACAGTGGCTAATAAATACAAGGGTGGTTATTGTTCGCTGTTACCAAATTTCTGCTAAAGACGCGAAGAAATTAAGACATAAATGTAATATTAACTGTAATAAAATAAAAAAATGAAAGTAAGATTGCCATAGTTATATTGAGGGTGTAAACCATGAGATTTTAAATGTATAGAAAGCTAACACTGAATCGGATCATACAGATATCTTACTTATTTTACATTCATCAACCTGAATATGGTATAAGCCATACAAGCTCATCGCTTACTAATTAACAATTGGTTATTTTTATAACACACATGGTTAATCTAGTTATGATGTTTGTAGGTATAATCACATTAAACAACAGTATAATTATGAAGAATATTATTACAGTGAATTACAACACTAAAAAGTTTGTTTTTCCTCCATCTTATTCAACTTGTAAAAATACTTTATTTGCCTACTTTACTGACCTACTCTTAGGTAACGGAATCGCTAATATTAATTAAAAAATATTACTTCGTTGCATTCAATAACTATATCCAGAAAAAAATTGGGGTATTTTCAAGCATTGCTTTCATCATAACAGCTGATAATACCTCTGGTTAGTCATCTAGAACTAAAGTAATAAGATATAGTACTATTACTATTTTAACAACATTATTAGTATTAGAAATGAACATTCAAAACTGTCTAATATGTAACTATATTGGCGATAATCTTAAAAATCACTGAACGTATCTGTGGTTTTTTTACATCATTTACAGAGCGATTTCTGAGGAAGGGTCGTGTGTACAAGTCATTATTTTTTTGTGTATATAACTAAAACTGCTCTAGTTAATAATATGAAGAAGATTGTATAATACTTTTATTATAAATTCCAGGCCTACACCTCCTTCTCCAACACTGATTGCCCAAGTTGACTCTTCGGTGGCCTGTCTCTGGCTACTCACGCCTTTGTCAGCTGGTACAGCAGTCGTAGCAGTTCTAGTTGCTGTCTCAACAAACAACTGGCTTCACACACAAGAGAATATGCTGAACCCAGCTTACAATGGCACGGGAAAGTACAGCTTGGTTGCAAAACACACAGTCTCTGGTTTATGGAGGATTTGTCACACAGACCGTAAGTATTTTTAATCTATTATATAATCCACTGCTTGTATTTTATTTTTGTGGATAATAATTATAAAATGAATTTGCCTAAATATCAATTAATGCTGTAAATTTTAACAAACTATTAAGATGAATTTTATTATTACCATAGTTTCTACGTAACTTTGTAGACACTAAACTTTGAAAGGTCATAAAGCTGACCAACACGAAAGAAAGTCATTATACATTTCAATATAAATTTCAAATGTTATTTAACAAAATAAATAAAAAACCTACTGCATCTGTTTCTAAGTACTACTTAATATATATACTATATTTATAGTGTAATGTAGACATGTAAACATCTACTAGTATTTGGCCGTATAAATACAAGTATAACAAGGTAAAGCGACTTTGTATAAAGTCACCCTCTGGCTATTGTTAATTATTTCGCATAAACATCTCGACTTGACAGCAATAGGCCTCCGTTTTGCCCATATTTCTAAGCATAATATTTGTGTTTATAACTATAATCCAAGATAATGTATAATATGTGATTATTTACCTGAAAACTTCCAAACTTGACGTATATATAAGTAGTGATTAAATTTGACAGAAAAATAAAAAAAAATAATATTTTAATTAAAAATTTATTCAAATAAAAAGAAAATTATAAACAGGATAATTATTATAGTAATATATTATTTATAGTAATGTATTAACATTATATTATTATTTATGAATTTCTAAATAATATTAATAGGGTAAATACCCCATTTATATAATTTCTTCGTAATTCGTAATTTAAAAAACAACCTTAGAAACGATTAAACAGTGTTCGCCTATTTAATTAACTTACATAGTATAATTTATATAAATCTATACAATTCCGACATTCTTTACATAGAAAAACAGCTTGACATATCATTGAATAAAATGCATATTTCAATATTTACTACACATTTGCTTCTTAGCAAAGCTGGTTCCTTCGGATACTTATATATAAAGACAGACATTAAACGATTAAGGTTTTATACGCATTGATGTGTATATATATAAAGAGAAAGTATTTGATTTCTTTTCAAAACAGTTCACTATATAAAGAAAACAACTCGGAATCGAATAATCGAATCGAATAGTTTTTATGGATGATAATGGACCAGTGCACCAGTGTTGGATGATAAGATAAGCATGAGGTCAAGTCAGTTTATCACAATCGTTTCTAAGAGGATGATTTCCACGTGGAGGCTAACCTGACATGGTACATTGCTAACAATGAGGTTATTAGGCCAGTAAAGTGTACCAAACACCTATGATAGATGGATGAATAATAAAATAAGTATGAAGTCAGGTTAGTTTGAAGTAGGTTAGGTAATATAGCATCGTGACAAATTCACCAGGAATTTAAAACGATGTTTTCCAGGGAAGACCGCGTGGAGGTCAACCTGACATGGTACATTGCATGTAATGGGTCACCAATTCACATTACTAACAAACCCCTATCCTCACCCCATGTTTGTCCATCGTTATGGCAAGGTATGAGTGATACCACAGACGTTACATATGATGTATATCCAAGTGTAGCTTGGCACTAACCACTAGGACAGCCGGCAAGTATCTCGTTTTCCAGTACAGTTATAAAAAAAACCCTAAACTCAAACGGTATCTTTGACATTGTTGCTATTTGTTCATTTGATTCAGAACGGTCTTTAGACGATCTCAAAAAGGAACTTATTGGATTTTAGATTTATTTTATAAAGCGAACATAGAATTGAATTAGATACGTTTCTACCCTTTCTTATAAAGGAATATCTCTGGCTTCGGTGGTCTAACGGTTTAGTACACCGCATTACTTCCGATGGTCATAAGTACGATTCCTCGCACGGTACAAACGTTTGTATTCATCAGTATGAGTTTTTTATCGGTCTGGGTAAGATATATAATACATTTGTTTATAAAAATAAAATGTATCTTGTTCAATATTCATTATACAAGATCTGTCTAGTTTGGGACTAGATGGCGTTGTGATTAGATATTATTACTACTATTATTATAATATCTCATTAAACTATATCTATATCATATGCAATATCTATATCTATATCATTCTATCTATTATCTACTATCAATATCTATACTATCTATTATCAATATCTATATCATATGCATGAAAACTTAAATGTAGTTTTCATGCATATGATATAGACTTTATAGTTATTTGTTTAGTTTATTCTCAATAAACTTCACTTTAAACACACATATTAAAATTTATATTATAATACAAATAACGTTTTATTGTCTGTTTTTACTACCAGTGAGACGAATAATATATACACTTAGAATTATCATTCAAGTTTAATGCTTACATAGAAGGCACGTAGATAAATATTATTATAGGGTAAACGTAAAGGACATTCTGCGCTTACATATGATCACTTTAGTATTTATATTTTTAAATTTTCTATGTTACTTTTATTAGTGGCTAGTAATTCTATAGTATGCTTATATGGAACATTAATTATTAATTATATTTTCATTATTGTAAATAAATCCGCCTTTAACTTATGAAAACTTGTATACTTTAGTTATTTCCATAGCATTATGTCATATGGCATACTGCTATGGGGTAAAGCTGCCGATATAAATACTATATTTATTTTACAAAAGAGAGCCATACGTTCTATTTATGGTATGGGTTCTAGAGAGTCATTACGTCAATGCTTTAAACAATCAAATATCCTCACCGTTGCCTCACAGTACATTTATGAAAATATTATGTATACAAGGAAAAGCTTAGATAGTTTCAAGAAACTTAAAGACTGTACAAGTAGAAACTTACGCAATAAAAATAAGCTAATTTTACCTAAATGCCGTCTACACAAAGTTAGTAATTCATTTTATGGTAATTGCGTAAGATTCTATAATAAACTGCCAGAGTCTACGCTAAATCTTACAGAGAGGCAATTCAAATCTTATATTAAACAAATGTTATGTAAAAAAGCCTATTATAAGATAGATGAATTTATAGATGATAGCAATATATAGCAAGAATAAGTTTATTTGCGGACAACGTTATAATTTTAATTTTCATACTGCTTTCTTGATATATGATAGCGTAGCGGCTTTTGTATTGATTGCCGCATGCATCCTTATGTAAAGTGCGAATACTGTAACTACCATATAGTAACTTTTGTAGCTGTGACGTGGTCGTGTGGAATGAGTAGTCATGCTCACTAAAATGTCCAGACATGTGGCGGCGTGGTGGGCCGGGTCAATGGGCTCCCTAAAATATGGTCGAGCGCAGTGATGGCTGGCTCATCCGTCATACTCGTGAACGAGTGCTGCTTGTAGGGACTGGTCTGCTCTTATCACTACGACTGATTTAATCTTATTGCAAGGTTATATTTGACCCAAAAAATTAGTGCTTGTTGGTAGTTTGTATTCACACGTTTCGACTTGTAAATGTAAACTTACAAGGATTATTTAAAAGAGCAACACACAAGTTTCTTGCTCGTTCTTCTTGTGATGAGACAGCTTTCCGAACGAGTGGTAGATAAAAAACAAATTGTTATGACTATTCAAAAGTGCTTAAATTAAGTTTATTTGAATAAATGATTTTCTATTCTATTCTATTCTATTCTAAGAAATTGGAATGAATATCAATTTATATACAAATGTCTGTCTGTAACTAAATCACTTTTATAGTTTATATATTGTGCACACACCTCACGAATGTAATGTAGTAATGTCGTTAATACACTAAGTCGAAATCTACTTCTCAAGTCATCTAGTCTAGAACTATTTATGTAGACGTATTGGTATGACATATATGTATTTTCATTTTGACTGGCAATGCATAGGCAAAACTAATAATTCTGGAAACTTATTTAAAAAAAAAAATATAAACAAACATGAGTACATGTTTTATTGTTTAATGTTTATTTTTGTAAGCTTACTTTATACTGTTTTGATTGAGAAACTTCTTTAGCTTTATGTCCCCGGAACTATAAAAGGAATATAGCCTCTCCAGTTTCACACGTAATTCAACGCCGAATTCTTGCGCCGAGAATTTTATCGGATCGGTATCATAAAATGGCGTAACACAATAGCGGGCGAAACTTCCGTGTGGGAGGGGGGCGCTTACAATGCGTTCTCGCATCCGTCTCTCCTAGGGAAATGCATTGTACTCAGAGGCGGTCCACGCTCGTTCTACTTCCATTCCATTTGCAAAGTCCGCTGATGTGTCCGCTGTCCGTCAGTTTACGACTCGTCCATTTCCGTCATTAAATAGTATTGTTTTGCGGGAATGCTTTTGCGCAAACTGGATATTTATATACATACTTTGTTAATACAATGTTTTCCATCGACTTTATACAATCATATCGCAATAATTTTATTGTAATTGTTTGAGTTTATCAATAAGACTGCTGTTTCAAAGGATACTACAAAAGTTTAAAAATAGATAATCTGTTTAAGCCGCCAACCAGCACACTTTGTATTTCTCCATCGACTATATCCGTTCTCAATTCTATTATATCCAAACATGTTTCAGTTACAGGATGAGATAGGACAATGAAATTATGGGGTAGGGAAGAACCATGGGCATCGTATGACAATATTATGTATATGGTGCTATTCATCTATACATATGGGTGGGTGATCAAATGATGATGATATATCTATTCAAATTCAAAAATCATTTATTTATGTAGGACATTTTAGCCGCTTATGAACGTCAAGTTTTTACATTATAATTTTTTAAACTGGCAAGAAACTCAATTGAATTACTTTTTTTTTAAAGCCAGTTTATTTACAATGCATAGGTATTTATATAGGTGTCTATGTCTAACATTAAATGAAAATCCCGAACATGAAAACTATACTAATATAATGATATACTAATACTTTATACACATACACAACAACAAAATAGTTTGTTAAATAATGTCTTACATTATTGTTTAAAACCTTCATAATGGTTTTGTTTATTATTTTAATGAAGATGAGATTTGATTTCAAACAAGATGTAGGTATGTACCTGTTCGTACTAATTGTGAAGCGCTCCATCCATTACCTACTGTGCTGTAATTAAGAGCTCACATATTTGATTAATATCAGGTACGAAATTGTGATAATTATGCTTTTTGATGGAGTAGAACTGGAAATGAGCCAATTTATTTATCCTACTCAATTACTAATTACTTTTTGATATAATTAATATTCCTATTATACTATATGAACATAGATGACATGTATAACAAAGTAAATCAAATACAACCTAAATAAATATATTTTATTTATAAGTAATTATATTAAAATGATGATGTCTGTACATGAGAGAAACTACTGCTGGCATGATATATCATGGAGTTGAACCAAATATAATGATTTTTAGAATTCTTGTTTATCTGATACTTTACGGTTACGATTTTCACTAATTTACTTAACTTTTTTTTAATGTAATTACTTTATAAAAAATAACAGTTATTAGGATACGAAGTAGCGGGCTTAATCAATTAATGCTGTTTTCTGTTTATAAATCGTATCAAATACAATTATTACATGTGGATTTATGACCTTTTGAGATCAGGTTACATATATATTTTTTTATATTCAGTTTAGAAACTAGATATTGTAGAAATTTATAATGTCATATTATATATTCATAACTTAATTATATAACGAGAGAACCTAAAACAAAAACTATAAAAAAATATAATACAATAACTAAAATATATTATTAAAAGGAGTCTCGTTAGGCAAGGTTTCGAAGATACTGGCGGCGTTCCCCCTTTGAATGGCTAGACTAATTCTTTGTCCGAAATAGCTGCCAGCTTTTCGGTCTTCTGTGATATTTGAATTGAATTGTTTTTGAAATTTGAAATATAGATAGCCATGAATGCCATCTATATCAATAATTGAGACGGGCAGGATACTAGTATATATATTGCTATCACATGAAAATACTGAATATTGTCAATGATTTCATAATTGACAGTAAAATACCTACTTCGTAATTTAATTAGAACATACCAGATCTATTTTTTTTAACTAGATTTTGTTTTTATAAAAAAAATATATCAGTTTACCAGTGATAGTACTTAAGTGGCAATTGTAGTCAATACAGATTAACTACAGATGATGTCATCACATGACACCTGGGGTATCCCTTATGTGTTGCCAATTCGGAATTAATCCGTATTTTCACTGTCATATCACACACTTTAACAAAAACACAATATTAAAATTACACATCAATTAAGTAGATTTTCATTAGGTCAATATGCAATTTATTTCGACTGTATTTACATTATAATTAATCATATTTTTTATTATTCTTTCCAGTTGGCAGTTTGGTGTATCAATGTTTGGATATACCCTACTTCCCCCTCTCACAGTATAGCCCTGATTTGAGCGACTCCACAAATGCAATACCATGTATGTATAATGACAAATTTTATTAATAACTAGCTGACCAGGAAAATATTGTTTCGCCATATAACTTAAAATCCTTATTAAGACATAGAGGGGATAGATAGCTAGAAATTTAGGTATTTATGTATTTTTAATGCCAATTTATAAGAAAATAAAATTTTGTCCAAAGAATTTTGGGAGTGGACGACCCTAGGGGTATGAAAAATTGATAGTAGTCGATTCTCAGCCTTACTGAATATGCGTATAAAATTTCATAAAAATCGGTTAAGCCGTTTCAGAGAAGTAAGGTACCTAACATTGTGACACGAGAACTTCACTTTATGAGGTTATTAATATTCAAAGATGTTTGGATACACTTAAAAATCCATTCTGCTAAAATCTTACTAAAGTCACAATACTGATTACCTGATTACTAGTTGACTTCCTCTTCCTCAGATGGTTAAGCAGCGATAAAATGTTTAAAAGAATATACCCTACAATAAACCCTACATAATACACATAGCGCCGTCTAGGCCCAAATTGGATAATCAATACACACTTTTTTTTAACACATCACTCTTACTAATGAATTCAAATGCTTGTACCGTGCAAGAATAGACTCCGCGATACTCGGAAGTAACGGGGTCTAATAATGGAATGTGTGCTAATTTCCGAATTTCTGCTTGCTAAACTGCTTGACTACTGAACTTGTCATTTTATGTCACTAATTTTGCCACTTCTATTTATTTGCATGCACCAGATGAGGCATCTATCTACATCACTGGTTTTAATATCAGTGGTCAGATTAGAAATCCGAGTCTCTATGTGTAAATTGGAAATTTAGAACCCAGTGTTAAAGCAAATTGGAAATTTGGAATTCAGTGTGAAGGCAAATTAGAAATTTTAAACGCAATACGTGGTAATAAATTGGAAATTTCAACTTGATAGATATTGGTAAACGGATTACTTCCTATATTTTATAGCGTTACATGAATAACAGCTATCTAAAACTAAGTATAATATTTTATTCAGGCTTGGATGAGCCTGAATAAAATTCTAGCCAAGTTTTAGTATTATCAGTTAATTAATGTTGGTATAATAGTACTCGTATATATATTATACACTTATTGAAATATGATTCGTAACGTAATTCTCATCATAGCCGATTAATATTTATTATGAACATTAGGTAAACCATTTCACTAAATGGTTGATTACCTAATATTAATAATTTCATCATTTCTATGTTTAAAACATTAATTTCTTTACATTATTTTTGATAACATTTTCCATTTCAATTACAATCTATAAAAACAGGAAAATGCGGGCTGATGCAATAAATAAACAGACTTTCAATCATTTATACATATTATGAAACAGGTTCCTGCCGTATTTGAATGTTCGCCGTAATATCAAAAACTACTAACTACTAGATTTGTTGTGATTATAATTGTCATAGGTATATAATTTTGTTATAAATAACCACAGAATAGAAGATTTGTTTCTCCAAACGAATTATTAATGCTCGAATATTAATATAAATATTTGGTATCAATTTCAGACGTGGTAACCAGATCAGCGGCGCCGTTACTGTTGGCTGTCTTTACACAAGCTGTTGGTGCACTTTGTTGCGTGCTCGGACACTGTGTCAAAGGAAGACGACTATGTACTTTCATTGCTGGTGTACTGTTTATTATTTCCGGTAAGATATTAAATAACTGTAATAGAAAATAAGTTGACGGCTCACCTGACGGTGGATGGAGTGAGAACCGTTATTGTACATGAACAAAATCATGAATTTCATGTCATCATGTGGTTGTATTGCCATTCTGAAGGACTAGAGTGTTACAGACGTATGACAGCAGTGTTACATGACGTATATTGCAGTATTTCTTTGCCATATCTTCCTTCAATCGAAACACAGCATACAAAGCAAGCTGATTGAAGGCTGAAATAGCTAATGTAGATGTCTTTTTATATTCAGTTTCGTTAAAACACCTGATAGTAGGAGATATCTTTAGTTATCCATTAGATTTATGTCTACGTCATTGTGTGGGGTCCAAGACCAAGCGAACTATAATACCCAAACTGAAAATATATCATAAGAGACCCCCATTATTTTGGTACGTTTGATCTTTGAGGTAGTAATTATTAAATATTAAATTAAATTATGACAGTGATTGTTGATGAATTATTTTGTCCATTTCAGGTCTCATTATGCTGACTGGAATTGTGATGTACATATCGGTATTTAAGTCACAAGTAGGCCATAAACTGCGCTATATGACCTACTTCGATGCCCCACGAATGTCTTATAGTTATGGATATTCCTTTGGTCTATATATCAGCGGATTTGTGGCCGTTGAGTTAGCAGGTACATCTGCCATATATCTCTTCCTACAATGGTATCAAAAAGACTGGATAACAGAATTATCAGAGAAAGCCAAAGCTGATAGCCGAGTCTGGGATAGAGAATATGCTTTCTCAGACTTTAGAGAACGAGATTCGACATTATTAGAAAGACGGATGATGAAGAGAGACACGTATCCACCTACAGGTTCATCTGCAGCTACACCACATGAACGAAGACGTTTTGTATACGACGGGGACGATATGCCGCATTGTTCTATACATAAAAATAGAAGAATAAATTTAAGCTCTGCATCTTTAAAAGATTTATCGTCATCTACGCTATATGGTTTCCCAGCAGCACCAAGACCAACAGCTTGCGATAATTACTTCGAGGAGTTTAAAGAAGTTCCTCAGAGTGCGAACACTTTAAGTGGACTGAGAAGCGCGTCAATATTTCAATCACAAGCGTCAGTTGCCAGTGGTAGATTCTTGGATTCAACGGCTGTAGAACCACCGCCTTCTAGGGAGGAGGAGCTGGTGACATTTGGAGCAGGAGCGCGAAGCGCAATTGCTAACGAAGACCAGCCTCCTCGACATGACCGCGCTGTTGGTACTGACCCGTACCGCAGGACCACTCCCGTCTGATTTAAAACATCGGGTACCTCGCCCCCAGTTTAAAGCATATCGAGAAGTGATAAGTGACGATACTGTTTCACGTACTATTTATACCTAGGCGTATAACGGTTGTATGTAGGTAGGTACGGGTAACGATTAAGAAGTGTCTTTCGAATTTATGAACGTGCATACGTTACTTGTATTATGGAATTTTTAATTGTTACATTTCCTTGAATAAACACTGCCATTTGTCTACTTCTATTAATTTACTGCTCTCCTATATAATTAAAAAGAAATACTATTATAGAAATATAGGTACATATAATTTGAATTTTTTTATTATCCATAGCATACACTATTATATATAGATAAAGTTTCATAATTTTCATATAATACAATCTCAATGATGACGATGAAATCTCAAAAAAAGAACCTTTGACGATATAATATAATAAAAAAAAAGTAGTGCGAAGATAAGTAGATACAGTGGTTGTTCACTGCTATAGATAAAGAAAGGTACTGTAGGCTAAATAGGCGCACAACAATGTACCTACCTCTTTGGTACGTAACAATACTGGCAGAAAATAATAAAAAAATATATATTTACTGAGAATCCAATTTTTAAATTTTGTATTGTGACTTTGACAAATTTTTCGCTAGCCCCTTGATTATGATAATTTCATTTTAAGTAAATAAATGAAAAGATATTGAGAAAATAACAATTATTCGATATGGGGGCGTAAGTATTATTGTTTATATATTATATTTATACAGCACTTTAGTCATTATGAATATATTTAAATGTTAATGATTTATATATTCTCCGTGTGATGCCGGAGTATAACACAATAAAGATGATCAGAATAGCATTTTTTTCCGGTACAGGCTTTTAACCTACGATATAAGTAAACCTATACCTACGCACTACGAAGAAAGATAGTATTATAAAAATCATATTACTAATAGGATATAACAATGGTATAATTTACAATTGTAAAAGAACTCGAAATTGTAGTATTTAACTTTTATTATGTCGTTATAATATTTAATTAATAATTGTAACGTTTATTTTTCATTATTTTTTTGTCTGATTGCAGACTTTGGTCAATATTGTAAGTATTGAATCCCATTTTGCCATAGCATCGTAATCATCATATACACACACTTACTCTATTTTTCTCATAAATTATTATTATAAACTCTATTTCACACAATACTATTACAAAACTATGCATTTTTTTTCAATATAATTTATATTTTATATATTTATAAAGCACAATTATTATTGAGTTATAAAAAATCACCGCCATTTCTATCATCAGTCAATGGAAAGATCCTCGTACTCCGGTGAAAGGTTTTCACCGCATCAAGAATATAGTATTCAATAACTTCAGAGGTTTACTCGGTTTCCTAGTACCATTGTGTGCATTGAGTTGGCAAGGAGAGAAGTCAAGGGTAACTGATCTTTTTTAAATACTTTTATTGTTCCATGTATAGATCTAGATTGATCCTAATGTATGCTACTGACGCAAAAATATTGTAAATTGTTTGTATAATGTAGGTATAATTTGTACTTGTATATTTGTATAAAAGATTCAGCATTATCGGTTAGTTTTTTTCTACATGACTATTATCTAGTCGTTAATATAATAGCAAAATTCTTTTGATTAATTGTTTTTCATATAACCGGCACATTCAGATTGTAGTTGCAATGAAGATAAACGTAAAAGCTATTTGTTCTTTCAAAGAAAAGTTATAATTTATGTGTGAATAAAAATTATCAAATTATAGCAATATCAAAAGATAAAAATATTAGACATATAAATAGAATTAAATCAATTTTAGTTACTTAGTATTTATTATTCGTTAAATGGAAACATTTTACATGAACTACTGTACTACTATATCATTATTTCAGCATGATATAACAGTGCAATGTATATGGATATGGATGTTTTGGTTCTTTTTATTGCAACCAGTGGCGGTCCAAGTGACTGCAATAATTCCCATCTTCATACTACCAATGGCCGGAGTATATTCTACCACTGATACTTGTAGCTGTTATTTTAACGTAAGATTTTCATTATTTATCACCCTTATCATTTTATAAGTTTCACAGTCGAGTGCTATACGTTTTTTTAAATACAACTGGAACTAATGGGCTATCGATCATCATGTGATGCCCGTGGAACCTCTCATTCGTTGCCTTTCTGATTATCAATGATTTATAATCCCGTATCTTACAGCATCTTACAAAGCAAGCTACTTACCGGCTGCAGGATACCGAAATAGATTAAACGGTACCCACGATGATAAAATAAAGTAAATATCTATCTATCAGATGATTTAGTACAAAGTTTACGTCTGGAGCACTGCAGTCCCGAGTCATCGGCATTATTTACAGCATAATTTTCGAGGTTTCCACGCCACCGCTTAATATATTTGCAACGAAGTATAGAATTAATTAGTGCTTAGTCTTCATGCCGTACAGTGTAGATAAGACGCTGTAGCATGAAATAATAATTTATCTTACTGAACGTTTTATATCAGTTACCAACATGTGGAAAATTTTCAAGAGAGTACAGATAATAGTAGAATTAATAATTAAAGAATCACGATGTACTTCCGAGCCATTAGTGCCGTAGTACTAAAATTACAATAAAAAAAAACTTTATTTAATAAGTATATAGTGTATATACCTTACACCTTTTTAATATTCTATGTATTAGTTCAATTGGAAAATAGGGACAGTGATAAAAAGTAATATACCGTGCGTAGGAGACAGAAAAATCCTTAATGATATATATTTTTTAGTTGTATAATTGGAAAAAAAATATATGTGGAAATATATCTAGTTATGTCGTATATTTTCATTATCTTCTGTTTATTTTTATTAATTCTAGGAATCGATGGCATTATTTTTTTTAAGCGGAATGTTACTTTTGTTACTCAATAACTCTGGATTTGATCGCCGAGTAGCATTATGGTTCTTGGGATCCGGAGACTCTTGTCAGTTTTCTGGGAAAAGGTAATAAAGTTTGAAGAAACTAATGAAGTTTCACGCATAGTACCTATGTATAGTTAGTCATAATAAAATTGTGCAATCATATATGATGATGATTATTTTAAATATATAGGTATACCGATAAATTAATAGGTAGATATGAATAAAGACAATAAAAAATACAAATTATGATTGTGTTGACATGTTTATAAACATTTACAAAGAAAAAGCATATTATTTTGTATGTTATTATCTAAACTAACTGAGCAAAGAGGATTGAATATTTCTATTAAAACCTATACATTCTGTCTTTAGATCTCATAGTAAATTCCTACGATATTCTGTCCCTAAAACACCTTAAACATTTTGTGCAGTTTTTTATTTTGTTTCAGACTTGTATTTAAATGCAGTTCAGCAGCCTTCTTTCTATCAATGTTTAGTAATCGACTGTTAGTTACATCTACTATAACGCAGTATATGACATCAGCTTTAACAGATTTACAGGTAGGCAGTGCAATAAAGCATAACAAAATGCACCAAAATAAAATAATAATAAAAAATAGTAAACGTAAAGGTTTATTTATGTAAAAACTACAAATATGAAAAGTAATACGTGGCCAGTAGGATGTTAATATATTGGTATGTAACATGATTGTTACAGTCATAATTATAATGTGACATGTTTTCCTAGTACAAATTCCGTTCTTCTCCTATACTTTCAATAAATAAAAAAAAGTAAACGAACATTCAAAATAATTACAGTCGGCAACATCTAGATACAGAAGCACTGAACCAGATTATGATGAGATGCGATATATTGTCAATAATGCTATCCAAACTGCTTCGGGAATTGGTATGTATAACAAGATTTGAATGTATTCACATGTTCATTTAGAGCAACGAGTCAACCAATTAATTTCATTTCTTTATATATTATAAAAGATGATACATCCAAAGAAAAAAACTAAACGGACAACTAAAAACTTTGTAATTACTATTATATTACCATAAAAATTTTACATACTATTATTATAAGAAATTATAGAGTACACTGAAAGAACAGTATTCATTTGAATTATTTTTAAAATTTTAACCTATTTTAAATAAATTGTTGTTATAAATTATTTTCATTTCATTTAGATTCATTTATTCGAAGTTTTCATTATAACTATTTTTACCTAAAATAATTGGTAATCTGTATATTATTATAATTTAATTATATAATTTCTAGGTAGTATTGCCATTATACATTCGACCTATTCTGCACTGGCTTTTAAGGGTATTTGGTCAGAGTAAGTATAAAATTACTAATCCTTACTAATATTATAAATGCGAAAGTAACTCTGTCTGTCTGTCTGTCTGTCTGTCTGTCTCGCTTTCACGCCAAAACTACTGAACTGATTTAAATGAAATTTGGTACCCATATAGTCTAGACGCCGAGGAAGGACATAGGCTACTTTTTAATACGAAAAAAGGGTTGTAAGGGGTTGAAAATGGTAATGCAAGGTTATCTTTATGCGGTTGAATACACACTTATTATAATAATGGCTTAACTAAAAAATTTGATATTTTGGAAAGTCTACTTTATGATTGTGTTATTAAGTCTATTTTCAAAAATTTTTAATTTCTGAATTACACCAGTATTGTACTAGATATGCGACTTATTAACGCTCATATGTCATAAATAAACATATATGTCATTTGTATAAGTTGCGCGCGCAACTGATTATTGTCAATCCGTTGTCTCCTTATGAATTTAAATGAATAAACGTTTGCTCTGCAATTTTATTTTATAAATATGTACATAAATATAATCCTGGTATAGCCTATAACTGATGACCCTGCTCTTGGACAAGAGCGTAAGAACATATTATTAATATTTTTGAAGAATAAAACAACATATAATATTAAAAATGTTGTCAATACATATGAACAACATTTCCTTGGAAGAAACAACATCTACCGTTCCATCCGAGCTATTCAGGTTCGGAATACGCGTTTCTCCATTCTGGCCAGTAGAGTCAGAGATATGGTTCGCGCAAGTAGAGGGATAGTTTGCAATTTAGAATATCACATCTATTATTTTGATTTAACAAAATTTTATTATGTTATTGGCCAACTGGACCACCAATTTTCAAAAGAATTTAAAGAAATGTTTAAACTGTTTATTAAATATAAATAAATATGACATTTAAATTTGTAAATATCACATTGTCACCATTCAAGGGGTAAAATAAAATAGCAGATAAAAGTTTTTATGGAAATTCGTCATATTTGAAGCTAGAACGATGAAGCTTTTTTCTTACGCTTTTTTGGGTCAGTTTATTTAATAAATACCTTACTAATATTATGAAAGTGAAAGTGACTCTGTCTGTCTGTCTTAAAAGCCAAAACTTCTGAACTGATTTAAATGAAATTTAAAGTCTAGATCTTGAGATAGGACATAGGTTACTTTTTAATGCTAAAAAGGGTTATAAGAGACTGAAAGAGGAATTTTTTAAAAGTTTAAGCTTCAATCTTATTTTTTTGCGTATTGATTAAATATAATTAACGAAAATGGGTTGTAAGGGTCAAAAGGGGAGTTAAAATGTTGTATGCATGTATTGTCATTTTTTAAAGCTAGAAACTTGAAACCCATTTTTTAGGCTGTTGAGAAAATATCAGTAGCCACAGGACTCGGCCATAAATGGTTACAGTATAGCGACATCTTATCATTGGTACATGATGACACTAATATAAGTAGCATTAAAAAAAACAAGAAAAAGGGTTATAAGGGGTTGAAAGGGGAGATGTAATGTATGTATGGTATGTATGGAAGTATCTTCATTTTAAAGATAGTAGTTTGAAACTTAGTTTTTGGCTGTTGATTGAATTGTATGGAATTATGTATGGAAATTTCATTTTTGAAGCTAGAACGATGAAACTTTTTTATTGGGTTAGATTATTAATATATATTTTTTATTATTTGCTCAAGGTCACTATTTTACGCGGACGAAGTCGCGGGTACAGCTAGTAATTAATAAAGCAAGTTCGTATGTAATGGAAAACAAATGAAAATCTATTACAATTTTCATTTAAGTGTCAAGTTCAAGAAATATTTTCCTTTTTTTTATTATTTAATTTAAAAAATAACTTCTTACTCTCTTTTCAATACAGACATCCTCCAGAGGGTCATGAATATCCAGATATATTCAATTATCTACAATATACATTGTTTGCATTTCCCATGGCGTTCTTAATGTTTGTGTTAAATTTTTCATACCACATGTTACTCATCAACTGGTAAGTTTTTAAAGTAATTAGTAAAAGTATTATCTTCTTTAGGACCAATTTAAGCTTAGATTTTAAATAAAACTAAAACACTAACTAAAAGGTAGTCTTAAATTATATTATAATTAATATTATTTTTGTATTATGTTATACTTACGTTATAATTTAAGGACTTTCTTCCATACCACTTATCATCAGGTTGACAGTGAACTTTTTGCTATTACGATTAAATAACTTTTGATTAAAGGTTTGTTGTGAAACCCATGAGTGCTAGCAGTATGGCTGAAATAAGAAAAGCTATTTTGAAAAATAAAGAAGCTATACCACCCCTACTTACCTTACACGAGAAGGTAAATATTTCAGCATAGGTATTATTTATTAGTAAACTACCTACTCGCCCCGGCTTCACCAGGTTGTACATGTATTATATATATAAACTTTCCTCTAGATACACTCTATCTATTAAAAAAAACCGCCTCAAAATCTGTTACGTAGTTTTAAAGATTTAAGCATATATAGGGACAGACAGTGACAGCGACTTTATTTTGTACTGTGTAATGTTAATTTACTGTTTTTAAACTATCTGTATAGTGAATGAATGTATCACTATTATTTTTTTATCCTTATTTTCTTAGTAGCACTTTACGTAATAAAGTTTAATATTATATGAGTTTATTAAAAAGGTAAATAAAATCTATACATACTTCACAGTGTGTGAGTGTGGGTCAGCGTGCCAATAATCTAAATTTCTCTTGTTATTATAAATTTATAAAACACTAGTAATCTTGTAGGGGAGGGCGGGGCAAGACGGGGTAAGGTTTGACAGTGAAAAAAAATTGTATAATACGACTATAAGTAATGAACTAAACTACTAAGGGGATGAACTGCAAGAATAGTTCTGTTGTGATCCAGCCTATGTCACTGCAAACACCCCATACACCTTGGGTAGCCTTTATCATCAGTTCTGATTTCATAGTTTTACGAGGAAATATCATCTTTGGTGACATGTGGACATGTGGACACCTACTGCACTGAAACAAACCACTACAGTGATAGTAAATATATGGGATATTCCACATACCATCTTGCCCCTTCGGGTATTCATTTTATAAAAAAATAATAATAAATAGAAACAATAATTTTAAGCGGTCGAAATATAAGGTGAGAACCTTACTTTATGCTTTTAGTCTTCCAAAAAAATAGCAATAACAGCAACCACTCAACAACTTTATATTTCTGTCATGTAGTTAACAACAATTGAAAATAATAAGTAAATTCGTCAAAATTGTTTTTTCGCTCAAACATCTAAACGCGGCGTCTCACTGTGGTGGTACTCAGGTGACCGAGGGGGTGAGGTAATAGCTTATCGCTGTTATTATTGTTTTGACTGAGGTTCATTTGGTTTTCTCTATAAGGGGGGTACTCCGTCTTACCCCACTCTCCCTATAAGAATAACTACTATTACCGAGTCTGTTATACTGCCCATAAAATGATACTCACTGATCATGATTTGATTCAAGATAAATTCGTAATCAATATACTTTTTTACAGCTGACTATTCTGTTTAAAATTATTATACTCATTGTACTTTTCTGCCGATGGAATAAGTTTAGCAATATGGGATGGGCTGACTTTAATGCGGAACCAACTACTCCAACTATCCCTAGGTAATGAAATGTAAAATTATTATCATATCACATTTGTAATTATTACACATTATTTTAATTAAATAGATGATGTATTTAATATATGCTATAGAAAACTATTTAGTAATATTTGGAGAGCGTAATTGTCTACTGGTTTACTATCCTGATTTACCACCCTCAGTTGAAATCTGACATAAAAGTTTCCATCTGGTGTAACAGTCATGATGATATCTTTATATAAATATAAATGATATGATGGTGATATGTACTAACATATTAGCTAATATTTTGTACAGGGTTAAGGATGCTACTGTAGCTGCATTATTTGTGCTTTTATTACACATCTTACCAAAAGGATTTGGATTTATGAAGTACATTTCCGCTGAAAGTGAGTATAGATAATTGTTTTTATATGTTAAGTGTTTATCGTAATAATAATAGACATATTGTACATTTATAAATCGCATATAGCTTGTTTGGCTAAATTCCGAGTATAAATTGTGAAATTACAGAACAGAGAAGAAGAAATATTTGTTATTCGATAATGACAACATATAATAGTTGTTTACCAATTACCAAACAACTCCTACTATATCATTTAAACTATGCATATACCGTCATCATCACTGCATTTAAATGTCAAATACCAGTCGCGCCATCTACTGTTGTTGGGCAGATATCTTAACATTAGGCCTCCGCCGTGCTTACTTGACGGTAGCACGATATTAATTTATTTATTTGTTTTTTATTGGATAACCTGGTGAGGGTTTTATTGAATAACCTGTAGATGATAAAAGTATCATTATGAATCAGGTCAGTTAATACATGGGAACTGCATGTGACTGAAACCTGCCGTCCACATTACTAACAATATGCCCCTGTGAAGTTCATAAATCTGACAACAGATGGCATATCTATAAGCTAGAACTGTAAATACTAGTCTGACAGTTACGAAATATTTTTATATATTTGTGCAATTATTGATGTAATATTTCGTTACAGAAAAAAGTCAGTTACCCCCTTTAAAACCGGAGTCATCTATTCTTTGGTGGCGTTTTGTGGATAAAAATACCAATTATGGATATTTCTTTTTATTAGGTATTTTATACTTTTTTATGTAATTGAAATACGAAATAAGCTGACGGTCTACGGATAATAGTACTACGCATATCATGTTATCTATGTCATAGTGAACATATTAAAAATAATTGAATTTTCCTATACGAACTGTTCGTACCTGATAAACAAGAAGGAACAGTATTGATTGGGGAATTGTCTTAATTATATGTTCCATTATTTTTTTTTAAATGGTATAATATTAATAAATTAGGTACACAAATATATCTTATAGTTAATAACCTATAAAAATAAATAAATATACTAGCTGTAAAATTAGTTAGTAATCATTCGTGATGTTTCAGGAGCTGGCATAGCATTAAATGCATCTGCGCGAGCCACAGGACTCGATAAAACAATAGCTTTGCATCTTGGTAAAATGTTCACGGAAAAGGAATGGAATGTGTCCATATTCCTTGTGTGTCTTGTTACTGTCATAATGAGCAATGTAATGACCAGTACAGCAGTCGTAGTTATATTCTTGCCAATTGTTTTGTGTATGGTATGTTAACATTTTCTCGTACCAGATAAAATTTTTTTATTGGGAGCATTCCGATTCCTTTCGGTGCTCGGATTCGCTACTAATTTACTATTTCTACTAAATTAAATCATTTTACTTTAGATTTTAAATATTACATTATTGACGTCCAGATCAGAAAGTAGGTATTTTACATCTAAATTAAATTTAATATTAAAAGAAAAAAAATTAAGAATCCATTATTCTTAGAGTTTTCTAGTCATTGGGATTTTTAAATAAAAATCAAATGTCAGTCTATTCTGAAGTAAAATTAGAATAGGAATTCTTTGGTGATCGGTGATAGGTATAGCTTAACGTATCTCGCCTTTAGTAGTACCCTGTCCATTATCACCTGCTTGTAAACTTGTCTTTCTTGTAGGCACCAGAAGGACAGATACCGTGGCCATCCAAAGCATATTTAGGTGCACTTGCTGTTGGAATTGGTTCGTCGTTCGGGTTTATGTCCCCCTTTTTATATACACCTGGATATTTCTGTCATAACACTGGAAAGGTTCCTAGGATTAAAATGGTAAATAGAATTGAATCCTTACCAACATTATAAATATCATAATGTTTTATTTTTTTGGTTTTTTAAAGTTATACAAATTATAAAGTAACCTTAGAAAATGTAAAAAAATATCGATTTTATTAAACATATTAAAGGATGAGTGCAAATTCTATTGATAAGTAATTTATATCTACATCTAATTAGATTTTTAAATACAGTAAAATTCAAATGATTGCATCCTTTTTTTAATGTAATAGTTACAATATATTACAGATACTGGAGCACAATACAATTATATTGAGACGACAATTTTATATTTTATACTTTTTTGTTTCAGGCGAAGTATTCCTTTATAAGTTCAATAATATGTCTCATCGTACTATGGTTAGCCCTAATATTTTGGGGTCCATTTATATGGGATCCCGAAGATAATGGCTTCCAATTTGTGCTTGTAGATGAAGGAGCAACAACACCTACTCCTTGATCATGGAATTATTTATAGTTCAATATTCTATTTATAATTTTTACTCATGTTCAATCTTGACAAACAATTGTATTTGACGTTTCTTCAATTGTGGCGCAATAATCTCTTACTTTGAAAATGGATTCATATTTTGCGTTAGTTTTATTTTGTGACACTACTTCAATTTGATTTAACTGATCAAGAATTTAAATAAATTATTAATGCGCACTTATTAACTATTAGCAATTAAAGAAAGTAAAAGATTTTAACGGCTTAATGAAATGCATTGATTTCTTAATATCTATACATACATATAGTTGTACTATATGTTTGTTAATTAACTCATCCTAAACAATTGGACCTAAATTCACAAAATTTTGTGTATGTTTCAATAGATTCTTGAATGGTTTCAAAATACATTTAGAGATCCTGTAGTTGGCGGTGCTTTTCCGGGAAATGGTATCTGCTATTTGCTAGTCATCCGCTAATCATAAAAGATTTATAGGTTACATAGATTAAAAATGTAAGTTTCTATTCAATATGAAAAACTACTAAACAACAACGGATATTGTCCGACCATTCGCTGAAACGATTACGATTTTGAGTGGCAGCGTTAATGGATTCTATATTAGTCGATGCTATTATTTATCAAATGAAAATAAACGTTAGTTGTTTTTTGGTTCATTGTGAGAAAATGTTTATATTAATATTATTTGTGGAATATTAAAAACGCTAATAGCTAGCGCAGATGACGTATCAACACGTAATTTACATGTATATGAGAATACCACTCTCATTAGTTCCCAATAATGACATTTTCTTATTGAATATTTCACCGTCCAGTTAGTTCATAAAACTTGCATATTTTTGAATGTTAACAAGTCCTGATTTGTGTAATATTTATATAAATAAATTGGTGAAGATTTATAAATATCTAACCATAATTTAAATAAGACTCAGCTAAGATTTAATACATGTTCTTTATTATATTAGAAAAAAAGAATTTTAATAACTTTCACATTCATATTCTGTTAACTAATGCAAAGTTTTCACGATTTTAATCTTTATTTAGTATAATTTAAGAGGTTATAACTTTCTATTTATTATCAACACACTATTTCTACATACCTAGTTGTTGTAAATGATTTTTGCGTAAAGTTATTCATGTATTTAGAACTGTGTTGTGAAGACACTAAATGTGAAAACATGAAAACAATAAATATTATTAATTTTATATATTCTTTTATTTTTACCAATCGAGTGTTAAACTTAAAAAACGAGCCGACTAAGGTTAAAGTGAGAGCTAATTTGAATGAAGTAAGACGTAACTCTATGATTTTATTTCAGTAAAATTTTGATCATAAAATCATAAATACGGATCATGTCTTCCGTTTGCTTATTGAATTACTACTATTAGTAGTAATTCGGGCTATGACCCCGGAAACTACTTAGATAGACTAGATTTGAATGATATATTCGCTGGTAGCAAATTCAGGACCTAGAGTTAAATCAAATACCGCGATCTATGAAGTTACAAGCACAAGGAAACTGTGATCCTCTCTGAGGAATGACTTAGAGGTTACTTACGGTAGACCATTCTATGACTATATTCGGAACTGCGTCTGCGTAAGGTAATCATCTACGATATCTATGTAAGTTAAGGTTTCAGTATATATTGATGGTCACTTAAACTGCTATAAAGTTATGCTATTATACCTGAATTACTTCCTTAGAATCGATAGTTCTTTAAAATTCCTAAGTATAGTCACTTTTACAATTTTTTTAATAAAGTTGAACAAGTAGGTCCACGTCTGATTCCTTAAAGAAATATTATTAAATCACATTCAATACTTTTAGTAGAAAAAATTTTATACTTTTAGTAGTACATTAAATACTTATATTAAAATTTTTTTTGACAATTTTCTATTCTTTTAACTTTGACAAATATGTATAAAGATTTTTAATAGTAATTAAGTTATCGAAGCTTATTAGTAGCAAATAATATATAAATATTTTCTCCCATTATCAAGAAAATAAATTTAATTTTCTAAACAAGAAGATTCGTAGTATTATTTTGCAAGTTCTAGTGAATGAACTTTTGAAATAAACTAGATATAAAAATGCTGTAAGAACTATTTATGACTAGCTGTTTACTATGATATACTATCTAGAAGTATTTTGATCTAATTTCTTATATAATAATTTGAAAATTGAATATTAGTAGTAATTAGCTTTCTATATATTATGATATACTTTTCAAATTTTCCTAACGATTCGTAATTGATTGCGTATTTAAAAATATTTTTGCAATATGCCTAGCCATGTCTCATGCATTAATAACGACAAATTTCATCCAAATTGGGTATAATGAGGCTAAAATACATTTAAGTAGTATTCCTTTGACCTTGTAATTGCTTCCGGTTGAAATAGCAGAGAGACGCAACTTTGAGCCCTGTCTAATACATTATTAAGATTTGAAGGCCTCGGTAGCCTAGCAGTTCAGCACACCGCTTTACCTCCGATAGTCGTGGATTCGATTTGCTTATGATTATTTGTATCGGTCGGTTTGTATGTATGGTGTATGCATGTATGTATGTATTATGTATATCAGTTCTTTAGTATCCATTGTACACTGTGTTAATTGTCCAGGGTTATTTATTTATTTATTTTATTAATATTCGCTGTATTAGGCATTTAATAATGTTTTGAAACATTATTTTATTGTAGTAAACAAATTCATTTTCAGGAGAAAAGAAGAGCCACCATTGGAATTGTTGGAAAAAATAAAAATATTTCTTGCGGTGCACTGGCAAGGTGTTGTATGTTTATTAACGCCAATTGTTATAATACCTATTCTCCTCCCATTTCCGCCTCAAGTAAGCATTATTCTTTACCTGTCTGTTATATTATTTTTAAATGAAAATTAAACCCTATTCATTATTAATATATATAGCTAATCGGTGTTTGATGCTGAATAAATTAGGTAATCTAGTGACAGTAGTTGAAAAAACTATTGACACCTACCGACATTGACATCACTGTACTCCATTTAGCTCTTGACCATGGCTAGTGCAACCTCGTCGAAACGTCGAGATTGTTAAATATTTTTATTTTCCATAAAATTATCGTGATATCCATGTGATCCACGATACTACCATGCGTTGCAATTTAGGACAACTAAGATATCATATCTCTTATCTCGAAATGCCACCGTCTTTTCAACCAAAACACACAAAGCTGCTTGGCGTCGGAAGTAGGTCACGCAAACGACTTTTCAAAGTCTACCTCTAACGAGATAGACTTAGGTAAATCTTCGATATGTTTGCCCTATACAAGATTGAACAATTCATGCAGTAAAGTAAGTAGAAATTATGATTTGATAAATAATTTTGTTTCTAGCCATATCAATGGTGCGCGTATACCCTTGTACTTATGGCTACATACTGGGTAACTGAGTGCATCCCATTGGCCGTTACGTCTTTTCTTCCTGTTCTTATTTTTCCACTCGCCGATGTTATGTCTACCAGTGAAGTTAGCAAAGCTTATATGAATGTAAGTATATTAAACACTACTATTATTGTTGTGTTACTCATTAATAATTATGCGTCACAGTAGTACTTCAAATTGTATCGAGAACTTATTTAAAAATATATCATTGTTAGAAAAAATTTTAATTTTATAAGATTTTGAATATCAGTTATTTAACATATTTCCATTTATTTATTTTTCCTGAAGCAATAAATAAATAAATTCATATATATAATATGGCAATTCGAACATGGCGTGTTACGATTTATTCAAAGACAATAGATTAATATTATAAAAAATAACTTACAGTATTTATTTTTCAATCTAACCTCCAGGACTCGATTGTAATGTTTCTGGGAAGTTTAATTTTAGCTTATTCTGTGGAACAATCTGGACTGCATAAACGAATGGCATATTTTACAATTCGGACTATTGGATATTCTCACCTCAGGTAAGAGGACCTGGGAAAGTATTGAAATGCTAGATACGACTACTACTATTTAATTGTTTTTTCTGTAGTGGAATTGGAATGGCAGTCCATCAGATGGACACATGACATGACATGTAATATATGTTCTCTTATAGATTATTGGGTTCACTGTGCATAGTGACAACATTCGTATCGATGTGGATTACAAATACAGCGGCTACAACCATGATGGTACCGATAAATTTTGCGTTATTAAAAGTTTTTGATGATGTAAGTTTCACCATATTTTATATTACTTTTTATACTCTACTTCTAAGAAGTGGCCCAACCAGACGGTGGTAATCTCAGTTACACCTATTTTAATCGACAAGCAGCACATGCGTGATACCATAGGCATCACATGACAACGCGATGTCCGTGGAGCTGTACATGCTTATAATAATAATAACGGGATTATTCAGTCAGCGCCATCTAGTCCCAAGCTAAGCAGAGCTTGTGTTATGATGTCATACTCATAAATACAAATGTTTCCAACGAGCGAGGAATTGAACCTCTAGGCCAGTGAGGCCGTCTTTATTCGACGACGTTATTAAAAATAAGTGGAATTAAATCTTTAAAGACTGAATTTATTTTGCAGCAAAAAATTATAACTATGTATGAAACAAATGCCGATGGAGAGAAATTTGCCTCAGATATAACGTCATGTTACTTCTGTGCCACTACGTTTTCAGCTACTATTGGTTTGTTAATTTCCTCATCTCTGTTTTCTGCATTTATTATTTTTGTTTTGAGTAACTATTAAATCTCTATATTTATTTATTAAAACAAAAAAATAAAAATTTAATAAAATAGTAATAAAATAGGTTAATGAATACTAAATGTAGGCAAATTAAGGTTCTTTATTGAGGGTTTGGTAAAAATTATAATATCTCAATGACTGTGCCTCAACTACATAAAAATATATACTCAGTCTTTATAATTTTTGGAATGAAGTAATTTTAAATGAAATGCTAATGTTGTTAAGTTTCGGATACTCGATATTTCGAGTATATAAAACTAAATATTTCTAAACAAATGGGCAGCTACGAGTATGAAAATTATTTATGATCAAATATTTACTAGTAATGTTGCAGTGGATACTCTAGTTTGTTTACAGTAGATGGATGCAACAGAACTGACAAAGACATCGTAATATGTACATTTTATACACTTATCAGATTTTCTATACCCAACAATTCAGTAAATAGTTTGTTTTAGATATCTAATTGAGATAACTGTTTTAATTTTACAGGTGGAATAGGCACTCTAGTTGGTACTGCTACAAATTTAGTATTTAAGGGATTATTTCAAAAGTAAGTTCACGATAAATTGTTAACCAATGTCCTCGTATTTTAGTAATAATATTTTTTTTATATTTAATTTTATACGTGGATGAGAAAGTCTAATAAATTTGTTTCAGCAGTTATCCTTTTCTTTAAAGTTAATTTCACTATTTATGAGAAAGAAATAAATACAATAGAGCATACCATTTATATTTTGGGATATATAGATTTTAGAAATAAAAATAGTATTTAATTATACTAGATATTTATGGTATATATTTTAAAAATGGTAAATAATTACTAATATTATTTCAGCGCTTACCCAGATGCACCCGAATATTTATCTTTTCCAAAATTTTCTGCCTTCGCAGTGCCATACATGATCATCATGGAGATATGTGTATACCTTTATTTGGCAATAGTATATTTTGGATTTTTAAGGTATTTTTTAATGACAGTTTTTATATTTCGGTACATTTTTTAGGGATTGTAAAAACTTTATATTTTTTTCTACATTAAATACAAAATTTTTTAATCCCTGGTTGATTCCGGTTCGAGCTTTCATTAAAACATATAAAGTTGCATACGGTGACTTCGTCAAATGTACAATATTTATCGAAATATTCAAATATTTGAAGTAAATAATACATTATGAGACATGTAATATAATATATTATTTTCCTTAATACAAATATGTTTTATTTAACTAACCTTGCAATAATCTTAAAAACAAACAATATTTTTAAATAAACAGGACACAGTCATTTTTATTTATTAAAAAAAAGTAGCTATATTATTATTACTAATACAGAACTGACTTAGGACTATACTGAAACAATTAAAAAAAATTGTAAATTTCTTTTTGCTTAAAACGAATTGCTATTTTTAGAAGTTGATTGAAAAAGTAATTAACTTTACAGACCTAAAAGCGCAGCTGCAAAGCGAGCAAAAATTCCACAAACTGGCAGAGAGGCAGCACAAAAAGCAATCGCAGAAGATACCAAAAAAATGGGAAGAATATCGTTTTGGGAAATTGTAAACAATTGTTATTTTTTTATAAAAAGCATACAAGTTAAAGACTATATAAAATAATTAACAATTAAATGTAGTATGAAATCGTAATATATTTTTAAATATCACATGTTTTTAGATGGTAATAATCTTATTTGGTGGTGCTATGGTGAGCTTCTTCTGTCGATCTCCTCAAATATTCGAAGGTTGGGGAGACAAAATAATCCAGCACTTTGAGCTGACTGACAAAAGATTGTACGTGTTTTTTATGTATTCATTTTAATTAGTATTTTATTTAAAAAATAAAATTTTAATTTTCTTTACATTACATTATCTGAAACGTGTTATATTATATAATGAAAATATATGCAAAATACAAAACTTTTTTTTCTTTTAGTGTTCGAGATTCAGCCCTAGCCATGTTTGTATCATTTCTAATGTTCCTGTTACCATCGAGTCTAAAAATTATAATGAACTGCAAAGCTAAATGTATGTAACCTAAATTATTTTTTCTATTATAATAAGATATATACCTATATATACACACATACATATATATTTAGTAAACAGTGCATCAATTAAATTTAGTTTTTACCACTACATTGTTGAACATGTTATTTTCACAATCCAAACGCAGGTAGCGTTTGGATTGTGAAAATAACATGTTCAGCAGTTTGCAATATGGTGTACCTACGAAATCATTTTAGTTTGTTTGTAATACTTTATTGTACTATATATAATAAATAAAACACAGCTAATAGAAATAAAAAAATGTATAATACATACCCAAATATATAAGCCCAGAAGATAGGTAGGTATACAAAGAGGCAACGCTGCCAGTATCTTGGGTACACTACCTCGATGTGCCGTGTTGGATTGCGATGATTGTTTTTTTTTTTTGTGTGAACAGTAATGTGATTGTATGTGATATATTTTAACATATATTTTACTTGACACAAATATATGTATATATTATCAATTCATACCAGTTTCAATATCAGTGAGTATTATTACTCACTGATATTGAATGTATGTATATGTATGTTAGTTATGATTAAATTAGTATAATTTAATTATATGTAAATAAATAATAAAATAATTTATTTTCTTCTGATGTAGTTTATGAAGATCTTCCAAAAGGACCTGTGACATCAGTATTAGATTGGAAAACATTGAATACAGTTATGCCCTTCAGTTTCATGTTTCTTTTAGGTAAATACTTATATTTAGTGCTACATTATGCCCTATTTCTGCCGTTGTTTTAGATGTTGCTAGTGCATGTATTATTGCTATTTTATCAACATAAATATTATAAAAGTCTTACCTTCACTTTAAGTCTTACATACAATAACTTGCTTTGTAAGCTGTACTTCAGTATATGCGGATAAGAGGCATGACACGTTGCGTGACGGTTACCATGTGGGTCGATAGATCTGTCGGTATATCCAAAACATAAAATAGCAGTGAAAGATTAATCTTAGTCACTACTATTTTGTGTTATGTATATACAGACAAATGTTTTAACAATGGAATATAGCTTAGTTATATTTTGTTATATAGCTGAATTGGTCTGAAAGATATATTTATCGTATTTGTTGCTTCTAATTCTATATATGTTTAGTTCTTTTTATTCCGTCCGTTGTCTATTATTTACAGGAGGTGGGTTTGCCTTATCTAATGCGGCAAAAAAAACAGGACTAAATGACAAAATAGGCGAATCATTACGCGGATTATCTTCTACACCAAATCTAGCAGTACTCTTGATAATAATAATCGTTGTAATTTGTGTTACAAATTTTTGTTCTAATGTGGCAGTTGCAAATGTTTTTTGCCCAATAGTGATGCAGTTGGTAAGTAGAACTTTATATTTTATTCCCTTATATCTAAACCATTTTGTAGATTTTTGAAATCATTACATAGTATAAAATAAAGTCACTGTCGCACTTTAAAACTACGCGACGGATTTTGAAGCGGTTTTGTTAATACATAGAGTGATTCTAGAGGAAGGCTTATATGTATAACATATGCATAGTCGGCGTGGGTAGCTAGTAAATAATAAAAAAATAGTAGAAATCAGCAGTTTCAGATTAGCAAATTTTAAGCATAAAAATATCTTTGACATAAAAAAGCCTTGATATTCAATAGTAACCACTAATTGACTTCACAACATTTCACTGTCCATATTAGTTTCAAATATGGTTCATTATATATATAGATTGGATAGACTACACCTCAATCACGAATATTTAAAAATAGTTTGTATTGTCCAACAAAGATTTAGATTTAAACGAATGGGCTACAAACTTACTGTTTGGCTGTTAAACTTACCTGGTTTCTGTAAGTAACTATGCCACGATGCTCTCAATATACACGTGTTAATACTTATCATTACAGGCAAAAGAAATTAATAGGAATCCTTTGTGGTACAATATCGCGGCTGGTTTTTCTGCATCGTACTGTTTCTTGCTGCCCGTTGGTACTCCAGGGAATTTGATCGTTCAAAGCGCAGCATCAATTCCTACTAAGAAAATGGTAAGAAAATTGCTATGACGGTGATACAAATAAGTAAAACACAAGACAAGTAGTTTTTTATTATGAGCGACTGAGAGTACAAGTAGGGTAAACCCTACAGTGATTGCCCAGTGTATAGATATTGCCCACAGTAAGAAGATGATACATTTAAACCTATTTATAAAGGAGTTAATTCGAATTAAATTCGCCGGATGGCATTAAGAGATCCTCTAGTAGAACGTTTAATAATAAATTGGTAAAATTTAAAGAAAAACATAGTGTTATGGCATATTTGTTGACAACAGGTATGCCTCTTATCGGAAAAAGTAGGTTTCTTAAAGAATTTCTTAAGGATACACTTTTTGTTTTAATTTCTTATGTTAACTTAGCTCCGTTTTAAACTTATTGCTATAGAGAATAAGTTAGTAAATGCTTTATAGTGTAATTTCAAGAAGTTATTGTGATGTAAAATTTACCTCTTAAGGAGTTAGATGGGGTGGGCAATTACTAAATCGTATTTAGATGACTTTTAGTGATTGCCATATCAGTATTCAGTTATTGCCATTGGCATTGGGTACAGCTATTGCCCGGGCAATTTCTATTAAAATAAGTTTATTTTTGTTAAATACATTTACGTAGTAGTATTATCTAGTTCTTTATAGAATACCGAAGGTTACCAAGTTAAAATACCTATGTATTAATTAGGATAGAAGCTAGAAGTTAAAATGACTATAATATCGTGAATCTTATTCGCGATTAGTATTATTATTATGTGTGTCTGTGTGTCCGTCTATGGAATCGTAGCTTCTAAAATAGTGAACCGTTTACCATGCGGTTTTTTTAGTTTTAAAAACTGGCCTGATCAAGATTCTTCTTGACTATGACTTAGTACTGTTAGTTTTTGTATCGGTGGGTATAATTTTTTTTATATTTATGTAGATTTTAACTGTAGTAGCCAAATTTGATTTAGAACATTCATCAATTCGGTTAGTTATGTTTAGATCTATGATTACAGATAAAAGCCGGATTAGGTCCAACAATAACCACAGCAATAATAACATGGATCGCAATAGCATTCTGGGCACCGGTTATATGGCCAGATTTACACTTGATGCCAGACTGGATCGGGTCAGGAACTCCTGGTGCCTAAAATGTAAGTTTATACTTTATTATTGAAAATATTGATAATATTCTAACATGTTTGTTTAAGTAACTTCCACACGGAATAACTTTTCGCCTGTAATCCTTCTTGTGAGTATTTGATAGTGTTAATTATTTATTATTGTTGACCCATATTATTCCGTGACTTTATGGTGGAAAAAGCTGGAAGTTGGAACTAAACTGTTGATGAATTCTTTGTTAATATACAGTTAAGATCTGGTTTGCAGAAATGTTATATGACAGAATAAGAGTAAGGAGGAGAAGGAGTTTAAAAAACTGATATATACAGATCTAGCATATCTACTCAAATATCATATGACATCGATAGCCGTTAGTTTCTGTACCTGTTTAGAAAGCTACTCACTCCTATCCAGCAAAAGAAAGTGGATATATATCTGTAACTACAAAAGGTAATGAATATTTCAATAGTATATACTTAATTCTAAATCACTTCTTGTACAGGTAAATTAAAAACTAACACGAAATTCGTCAATGAACAGTGTCTCCAATTAGAAGAAAGATATATTTTTATTTTTATTCATATTGCGTTTAATTATACCGCAATATAAAAGTTTCGAATGAGGTGTATGTTGATGAAATGCAAATATTTTGTTTGTAACACCATGATGTCAACAAACTGCAAAGTTATTCCTATACCTGAAAAATGGGGTATAATATAAAATATGCCACTATAATTAAGTCTAAGTATAGAGATTGATTCTATTGAATGGAATTATAATAGTAAAGTTTCATTAATGTGAAGAGAGTAGAAAGGCTTGTTTTATATTTTCTCGAAAATTACTAAATAATGAATAAATTTCTATTTCCCTGATCTATATATCAGTACTAAGTTTTATTTCTAGAGTAGTTATGTTTTAAAACAGAAAAATATATGTTTTGTTCTTTATTTATTTTTACTAAAATAGTGTAACTAACTACTAAGTTAATGCGGTACTCAATAAATGTTTATTGATTTAACCATATCGTTTTATTTCATAATTATAATCTGACGAAACTAACTAGGTTCGTATTCATACAATACTGTGTCCTGCTGCTAATATTAATTGTTTATTAATATTAATGTATACATGTAGTTAATTTATGACAGTTTTTATTAATAAAACTTTGTACAAATTTAAAATCGCCTTGTATGTGATATATATATTTGAATTATTAGGAGGTAACGATCACATATATGTGTCTCAAATAATTTTAAAAAATTTATTCAACCTAAATCTCATTTTAATTTTATATTTTTTATTTTGGATTTGGTAACCTAAGTAAACAAAATTTCTACTAAAAATTAACAGATATAATACCTAACACTACTCGATTATCACGCAACTGGTAATGTTTCTTTGTTGTCTGGCTGCTCTTGTATTAGTACGGTATTTTAAACTAGACCTATTATGTTACGTTCTACTGTGTTATCAGTCATTTGAATTAGTAGGAATTTATTCGATTTATATTTTTTTCTAACGTCCCATTTAGTTTGTATATTCTATTGAGAACTGGCAAGAAACTCGATTGAATTTATATAAATTAATTAAATACGTAGGCTCAATAAAATTGGTCTGCGCGGTTAGTTCTTTTTGATGCATTTCAGCTGCCCAGCAGCTTGATTTGTGAACTGTTTTAGATGATATAAGGTAGTGAAGTTACAGATATGAAGACATCAAATCTTATTTCTCCAGAATGGCAATGGTGGCGTCACGTAAAAACGCAAGGTCCCGAGTTGGTGTTTACATATGGACGACGGTTACCACTTGCTATCGGGTGGGTCATCTTATTTACTATTCCATTACGTAATAAACACTACATTTATGTATTCTAACGTGCGCTGTAGTAAATGTTATTTTATTCTATTTGTATATGTATACGAGGCATAAATATTAAAAGACTCTACATAACTTAGGACTAAATGGCGATGATGATAGTTCAGAATTGTATGTTTTCATTATTATTAATATATTTTATGAGTGTCATATATAAAATTATTTATAAATATGTCAAGGAAATTTGGATTAAAACCTTATAATAGCAGATCATAAATCATTATTTATTTTATAACTTTTTGAGTTCATAAATGTATCTTTCACAGTTACTATAAATATTTACTCGACTAGAATGTTTATTTATTTAACTCGCTAACATTTGTATAACTTCTTACCTATTGTAAATACTTACTTGCTCTTCTATAAACCGACATTAAAGAGAAAACTTCTTGATACGATTGTATTAAAAGTATTCTTTGGTTTCATTCTAAACAAATTACTAGTTTAATTCAATAAGAGCATATATAAAATACTGTCCGAGAAGTCAAAAATACTTTTTCAGTTAGATATGAATAATATTTTTTTAATTCGAATTGAGTATTTAAATGATAATGAGCATGAGTATTTAAATAACAGCGGTTTGCTTTGTGTACTAATATGTGTTCATGTATGTGATTGAATGTATTCATTAATTTAAGCAATCAGTAGATCTTCAAACTTGAAGAATGCATTACCTTGCAAAATTAGCCATATAAACGATCTGTATATCGAGTCACACACACCCTGTCTGGTAAATGCAATATTTATACGAGTAAATAATCCAGAACTCCATCTAACCCCAAGCTAAGCAAAGTTTCAAAGATAAGTACATAAGTGCAAATATCTATACATATAGAATGGATGAGACATAAACCCTGACCATATAGCTACTTATGAAAACAAATATTTGTATTGGGGAAATTAAACCCGTAATTGAAAGCAAAAATGGTTTACCAAGCTATACCGCCACGATTATTAATTCTATTAAACATTTATCATTTCGGACCAAAATTGAATCCATAATAAAATCAACAAAGATACCATTAAGCTAGATTGAGGCTGCAAATAACACGCTAAACGATGATTGTAAGAAGTTAAGACTAAGTATAATATGCTGGAAAATTGTAATACTAACTTTTTACTGTACTTTTAGCGAAAAATGGATTGCGGTGTAGCCCAAAGTACTTGTATTAGAATAAATTGTTTTTTTTTACATCCGAGACATTGTAACATCTGGTCATTCTGTTTCAAAGAACAATAAATTTCAAAAGTTCAGATAGGTTAAATCCATACCTCCCTTGAAAAGCACTTTAATATTACAAGCTTTATAATTAAATTGTGAAAGTTTATGTTCGTAATTTTTAAATTATTTCTTATTATAGTCTTATTCTATATTCTAGACAGATTTGAAATTATCTATGTTGCCAGTTTCTTGCAATTTTTACGTAGCGCTGTAGCACTGTCGGATATTAAAATAAATTATTAATTAGTTACTCAGAAATGGCTACAAGGGCTTGACATCCTATCTCCCTATCTGGTAAGAATATTTAGAGCCAGCTTTGCCTGGGGTTTTATACCAGAACCATTAACGAAGGTCAAAGTTACCTACGTACCGAAAACCGGTCGAAGAGACTACTCGCAGCCAAAGTCTCACAGACCTATAAGCCTAACCTCTTTCATAATAAAAACCATGGAAAAGGTTCTGGACCAACACATTAGAGCTACAATCCTCGAAAATGCTCCCCTGCACAGGAATCAACATGCCTACCGCAAGGGACATTCCACAGAGACCGCCTTGCTCGAACTCACCGACAAGGTCGAGAAGGCCTTTGAGGACAAACAAATAGCTCTATGTGCATTTCTCGATATTGAGGGTGCTTTTGATAACACGCCCATAGAGACCATCTCACAGGGACTCATCCGCAAGAAAGTGGATGAAACCACCACTCAATGGATCAAAGCAATGCTCTCAAATCGAACCATTAAAACTACTCTTCACAACAGTACGTTAGAAATCCGACCTACCAAAGGATGCCCTCAAGGAGGCGTTTTATCGCCACTGCTGTGGCTACTAACGGTAGACCAGCTCTTAGATGTTATGACCAAAAACCAATTTGAGGTACAAGGCTACGCAGACGATTTAGTAGTCATGGTCAGAGGGTTCTGTGCAACAACAATATCAGACCGCATCCAAAGAGCACTAAACATCATAGTTAAATGGTGTAAGGAAAATGAATTATCAGTAAATCCTGATAAAACAGTAATTGTTCCGTTTACAAAAAGGAAGAAACTTGACAAACTTGTCATGCCTAAAGTAAATGGAAGAATATTAGAGTGCTCCAAAGAAGTCAAGTACCTGGGCGTAACCTTCGACCAAAAACTGACATGGAACACACACATAGACAACATAACTCAAAAGGCGAAAACATCCCTAGGTATAAGCCGACGGGTAGCGGGGCCCAGATGGGGAATCAACCCCAAAATTGCCCTATGGCTTTATACAGCAGTGGTGAGACCACTTACCACCTATGCCTGCGCAATCTGGTGGAGGAAAACCCTCCAATCCACAGCTGCCACCAAGCTAAACAGCCTACAGAGAATTGCTTGTCTGATTATTACAGGAGCCATGAGCACCACGCCGGGAGCAGCTCTAGACGCATTATTGGACTTGACGCCCCTTCCTCTATTCATACAGGAAAAGGCGAAAGCCAATATGCTCAGAATAAGTTCCCAAAGGAGGATATCTTGGCATTCCCTGGCCATAAAAACTATACAAGACTCGATTATGAGTGATCCTATTCTGGGAATGCCTGAAGACAATATGGCACCAGAGTGTAACTTTGTACAATATTACAAAATCGAAATATCTGGAAGAGACGAATGGCAACTTAACCATACACCGTCTCACTCAGAGCATGACCTAGTCTGGTTTACAGACGGGTCCAAAATAGGAGATGATGTAGGATGTGGAATATGTGGTGTAAAACCCAAAATCTGCAACTATATAGGCTTAGGAAAATACGCCTCAATCTTTCAGGCAGAGACTTACGCCTTAATTAGATGTCTGGAAGTAATCCTAAGCCTCAACTACATCAATCAGAACATATACATTTATTCGGACAGTCAAGCTGCTCTACTAGCACTTAACTCGTACGAAATCCGTTCTAAACTTATTAGAAACTGTATCCTGCTACTAAATGAAGTAGGAAGCAGAAATAATATTATACTGAGATGGGTCCCCGGGCATTCAAATATTGAAGGCAATGAGAATGCCGACCATCTGGCAAAGTTAGGGGCAAAAACCGTCCAACTGGGCCCCGAACCCTTCTGTGGTGTGCCTCGTTGCCTAAAACTGGGACATCTCAAATTAATAACCAAACGAGAAGCACTGAATCACTGGCAAGAAATGCCAGGATTAATACATTCAAAAGACTTAATATCGGGCTTCTCGACCAAATACTCCAATAGATTACTGCAATTGAGTAAAAACAACATATGCATGATGACTAGGGCCCTCACAGGACACTGCAAATTGAACAAGCATATGGCTAAGCTAGGCCTATGCACGACAAGTATCTGCAGATTCTGCCAAACTGAAGAGGAAACGCCGCTTCACATCCTATGTGGTTGTAGCCCACTCATGCATAAACGAAATATCTCCTTTGGAAAGTTTACACTCTTTCCCGAGGAGATAAAAACGATCGCTCCTAAGAATATCCTTCAATTCTTGTCCCTGACGGGTCTAGGTAGCGAACTCTGAAAAGGGCGAGCACAATAGATCTATGTAGGTCGCAGTGCTACAGGTGCTACACATCTGACAATAGCCCAAACAACCCAATAAAAAAAAAAAAAAATACTCAGAAATTATGTGTGCATGTTTATTTAAAAGGCATTAACACAAAATTAATAAGGTACAGATGTTTATGACTACATGTGTTTCATATAAAGTCATATATCATAAAATATACACCTGTTTGAAAGAAAAATAATTGCTTTAATAATAATGTAAATATGATTTTATGTACTGAAATCACAATAATGTATTTTTTGTTGTATAATATAATGACAATGATGTAAACACTAATATACCTACTTACATTTTTAAAACATCCTATGGAAACTTCATACAAAGTTAAAATTAATATTCTAAAATAAAAAAATACGATGGAGCATATCGGTATCGCAGGTACAGCACTACCACGCTATAACTGATATAATTTGAAAATTTTACATTTAAATCTTTCAATTTAGTCTCCGAGATTAAAATACAGACTATAGATGAGCCCACAACTTCACACCTATGGTATTAGGAACAATAAAAGTTATAAATATTTTGTTTATGAAATAATATAAACATTATTATTAAAATAAATAAATAAATTACATTTACTACTTTCTGTCTAAAGCTTATCTACTATTTATATTCTCATATACAGAAATCTGGAGTAGGTTAGTTATAAAAATAGAATGAAAATATAGATTTTACACTAAACACCTTAATAATATTTTAAACTAAATTAATCATATTTATTATACATAAGTTTCTTTAATAAAAAATAATAATTCAGTAACGAAACGCATGAAAAAGTAAATTTATGTTAGCAATTAATATTAAATGAGCATCATTCGTTCAAAATTTGTCAAGATGAAACTTACAGTATAACACCGTCCCATTCACGAATACACCCGGTAACAGACGCACAGAATTTTCTTGGCCCAGTATGCTCAGTCGGGAAGTTGTCGACCAACAGACTGCTAGCTCCGAAAGTTCCCTCCCGTTACGTTAGTACAGCGACTCGCCGCATCGAATACGCGCGTACTAATAATTCGCATGAAATACCGCGTACATATAATATAAATTTTGCGAACACATTTCCTTACTCTTGTGTTTATTTGGTGACAATAAAATAATGATCATGTAAATCAGTGTCTCGTGCTATTAACATAATCGACATGAAAAATGCCCGAAGTCGTTAAATATTCATGATAGCAACTGGCTGATGCCCGGGATCTGGCAGTGCTACGACTATCAACAGGTCAGTTTACATTTTGTCACGACATTAACAGATTTCATTCGTATTATGAGCTCTATATTCTGTACTGAATTATAGAATACACAATAAACTTTCTCATAAAATTTTAATACAATATCTTAATATTATTAAAAGTATTTGTTTTTAAATATTTAAAACTCAAAGTTTCAACACGCAATTTCTTGTTGACTTTTTAGAGAGATTGTGTTGTAATATGCATAAAAAGAAATTTTAAAATAGTCGTTGAAAACAACTTTGAAAGATAAAAACAATTCAGACGTACTAGTTGTCTATTTATAGAACCACATGGAGTAGAACTGTTATGGTGATAACTAAAATTCAATGAAAAGACAACCTTGCCTACGATGTTTTAATGCATGATCTTGAAATATTTTAAGAGACAAACTGATTTATATTTGTAGCGCATTACAAAATATTTGTTTAGAAATAGCTGAAATACAGATTTAGCTCGAACTTGAATCTTCGTATTCTGTATTGTTTTTTTCAGTATTATCATAATGCCAGTTTATTTTCGTCGTCATTTTTATAAATTTTATATCTCTCAAAGTGACATTTATTTATTGGATGAAGTTACAATGACAGTTAATTGTAATATCACTAACATTGTCATTTTAAACTACTTGTCTATCTATCTATTACATTATACAGGTGAAATCAGCGTAAGCGGAATTTCTTATACATTCTCCTTGCCTACTTTAACGCTAAAATAATATCTATAGTATTTAATTTTACATAGTACGGGATTAAACATAAAAGACTACTCCAAAAGAAAGGGGTACTCATTAAAATGAACCAGATTCACCAAAAAATTAAGTGGAAATCAAAAATAAATTTTGAACTTTATACTAAATTGATAACTCGTCTGCATAATTTGTATTTTTATAACAACTATCGGTTTCTCACCTTGCTTTTTTGAGAGAATATTGGAAAGTTTTGCTTTGATGAAAACTGCTTCAATTTTCATTGCGCCCCTCATATACTATGAAGGACGCAATAGAAATCAGAAAAGTTTTATTATTAATTATGCTGCTATTGTTGTATAACAAATTTATGTAAATTGAATCTGATTGCTTACTTGTAAGATGCTTCATCCGTAAATATAGCTGTAAATTACACCGACAATCAAAGTTCTTACAAAGGGTATAAAACAGAAACAAGATTGTGGATTTAGGTTCTAAATTGTTTACACAATGAGTAACTTGACAATGGATCCCTTTAGTATTTGCTTAGATATTCCGTGCTTTGTGAGATCAACTCTGTTTTCTATTAAAACAATAAAGCCTCTCACTTCCTGCTAATAAAGGATATTGTAAACATTCTTCAATTAAATTTCAACCCTAAGGCTATTGATGATTATTGGTACTTAGAGTTAAATTTTTTTAACAATATTTTCTCACATATCAGAATATGGGAAATATATCGATATAACTGAAGGAAATGATGCTAGTAGATATAAAATACGCTAGTCTCATTAAGATGACAGAAACGATTCTGGACATCTGTTAACTCCTCGCGATACATTTTGTGTCGTCTCTACATCTAATGGGGGATCTTAATACACTGTTTCTACCTTTATGGGGTTTCAACCTAGTTTTTTTCTCATGAGTTATTGTTTCTTCAAGCTATATTAGTAATGATTGTTATTTATTATGTTAAATGCGTTAACCCAAATTTATAGTTTCGTATGTTAATAAAAAAGCAGATATAATTTGTAAGACTTATTTCCTATAGTTAAGCTTATTACATTTTAAAGGAAGTGGTTACAACTTTGTATGGTACATTAAAATTTTGATATTATCATAATTGATAAGAAACTATACTGTGTGCGCTGTAGCATGGTGCGGGTGACAATTACTATTACAGGTGACTGTTATATTTAACAATTGCTACATTTAAGTTAATATAATTATTAATGATTTAATATATTACGAATGTGATACAGCTGAAATACTAAGCCATAATTTGTAAATCGCGGCAACTTTTAAGAGTGAACGGATGACAGTTTCAGTAACGAAACGATAATGAAACTGTCACCCGCACCGTGCTACAGCGCACATGGTATATGTACAAATATTTTTAGAAATTTCGTTACTACTACAACACGTTGTACCACACATTGAAGCCATTTTGTATGTTTTCTGAATTATTTCAATATTCAAATCTCATTTTCTAATAATCTAATTCGTTATGGCGTTTGTAATAGTTATTTATTAAAGAAATGGTTGATTGAAATTACCACGCAATGAAATCTCGTAAATTAGTAAATAGATATAAATATTGTGTATTCGTAAAAGCTTGTTCATATCATCATGGTATCGTATCTGTAAAACCTAAGAGGGGAATATAGATAACGATAGTAAAACTAGTATCAATTGCTACTGCATATCATCTGTTTCAATATTAGTAAAATTTGTACATTGTACAACAACAACAGGCGTAACAATTTTGATGACATACCTAATTGATTTTTTTATGCGAGGGTCAGATGTTTATGTGGATTCGTAATAATTATGTTTTCGCTTATGGTACACTCTACTCTAAAGTTTTTTTCAATAGATGATAATAATATGGTGCATTCGCATGTGCTAACGGTAACGGCGCATACTTTATCCTTTTATACCTCACAGCATGCATGCGCCGTTCGTGCAAGTGGATCATTAACATTTAGTTAACAAGATTTTTTTTAAGTATAAGTTTTTTGCACTTTAATATTGTAACAAGATATTGTAAATTGCTTATGTAATTACTGTGTAGAAAGTAGTACGTAAATGAAATATATACAGCCGATGATTCTTTAAGATAATGTAACTACAATCAGGAAAATTTATAAAGTAGTAAAAAAACTCTAATGTTTCGTCTATTATATTATTTATTTAAACTTTATTGTATTGTACAATAGGCGTGCTTAATGCTATTAGCATATTATAGTACATTAAGGTGAAACTTTTGAAATCATAAATCGGAAAAAATATCTTTTTTAAAGTAATTAGAAAGATTGATTTCATTAAGATTGTCCTGCAAGAACCAAAAGTATTAAAATCAACAATAACGCTAATCTAACCCATCATAGCTAAATATTATTCAAATCCGTTCAACCGTTTAAGCGAGTTTAACAAATCTATTTGTATGGGACTGTATCACTGTGTGTAGGTATGGAGTTGATGCAGCTGACAATAGTGATAACAGAAAGGTGGAAGATCAATATATATACGCAGAACAGTAGTAAAGACAATAATATTTATGTAAACCCTCAAATAAAAATATTCAAAATAAAAGTATGCCAGCTAGCCGTCTAAACTAACGGAATCCTAAAAACACTTTAAAAATCACACATTTATAATATTTTTGGGATACTATATATTTTGTACTATTTAAAATAATATTAACTATAAAAGTTTTAAACGTATTATTCACAAACATGCGTTTAGCAGTAGTTAAAATGTCACGACAGTAAACAGTGTGACTAATGTAGCGTTACGCTATCACACATTTCAGTACCTACCTACGTTGATTTGGCATTAGTCCATAATATGTTAGGGTGACAGTGCCCGGCTACAACTCTATAAAATCAAACGAAATTCATAAGTCCATTAGTTTGAAATTTCATTACTCAGTTTTGACTGATTGACTCGAGTGTAATTTGACTTGTTTCGGTTAGGCTCACACCACAAACGATAGGAATAGCGATCAGCAGTTCTACAGTTATAACTATATTACATCACGTTTTAGGTTTTATTTCCATGGTATTAGAAATACGTATTCATGATTCCACTAATACTATATCAATAGAATATTCGAACGCAATGTAATGCAAATTGTATTATGCATTTGGATATTTTGCAATTGCAATTTATAATGTATATACAGCTCCCAAAAAATAGTTCTTGTTTCTTTTACAATAAGTAACTAATGTTCCATTATATATACTATACATATAACTATTATTTACTGACCCGATTATTTTATCACATGGTGAATGTCTTAAAAGCTGATGGTTTACGTAATGAAAATTGATAACCCAAGTTGTCTAGACAGAGACAAAAGAATCTATTTGTAGATAGCATAGTCTGTACTATTATTATAAAAAGACAGAGAAGATATTATTATGAGAAAAATGAATTAGAATCACTGAACTTGTTTGAGAAATTCTTTCATTATCTGATGTATCCTAAATTATATAGAGTGATATTCTTTATATAACGAATGGTAAACTACCACCACCACGTCATCATGTTATCACGTAACGCCCATGGTCCCATTCCTGAGGATTAATATGTCATGCAACCATATCCTGTAATGTCAATTACTTATCTCGCCTTTAAATGGAAACACATCTTATAAAACAATCTATTGGCGGCTGAAATAGATGAGACCGAGATATCTACGCAGACAACTTTAGAAAAACTACCTGCGACCATATATTTATTTATTAGTATACAAAACAGATTACTACCAGTACGTATACCTAGAACGTAAATTATATAGATGCATACAGTGTACGCTAAAGTATAAGGTTAGATAGTAAAAAGCACATTAAATAGAAAGTAATACATATATAAATAATGCAAGAATAATTTTGGGTCGATTTTATTAAGAGAAATAAATGGGTATAAAATTAAATATAATTTTGCAGTATTCTGTATACGATGGAATTTGCACTTTCTCTGGAACTGAAGTAGTATTAAATGGACTACGTATATCTCTACTCGAGACAAAAATTTCATTGTATTGACGACACATTCGAACTATTGGTCTGCATTATGAAGTGTTATTTGAGTAAACTTGGAGATAAAAGCAACAGATAGCTATTCCGTCTGCGATATTATTTGAACCTCGTGCCAAAGTTTAATGAAGAAAAAAGGTTGGAGATTGGGATTGCCTGTTAATTAATATTATTATACAGCAAATTTGATGTTTGTCGGCAGTGTCAGCAGACTGCATCCGGGCGAAGTATCATATGGTATCATACTGAAACTTATATA